TGGCTCCTCATTGCCCTTAGAACAAAGGTTAGCATCTTGGAACACAGCCTACAAGGTCTTCTGAGGTCTGGTACCCCTGTAATTCTCTGCCTCACCCTTCTCTGAGTGGCCCCAGGTCCTTTGCACATGCAGTCCTCTCTATTTAAAACATCTATTCGCTATTCCTTTGCTTATCTGGCTCATTCATTCATTTAAGATTTAATGCATTCAGCAAATACTCATTAAGTACCTACTATATGCCAGGCACTGTTTAAGTGCTAGGGATCAGTACTGAATAAAGTTCTTGTTCCCATGGAGCTTACATTTTTGTGGGGAAAACAGAAAAAAAAATTAAGCAAATTAAAACACTGTGACATAGCAGGAAATATATATTTGGTCTCTGCCCTGATTCCTAACAAAAGGATCCTAAAATCCTTGTAATTTCCTGAGTGATGGGTATAGGAGCATCTTACACAGAGCTCCTAAATTCTTGGAATTCGGGAGTGACTGGAGTGTCTTTTGTTCTAATGATGTGACTCTTGGTGGGCTCCTAGATAGCATCAGTATGGAGGCTGGTCGCCAGAAATGCCAAGCCATGATTAAAAGCTTGGAACTTTCTGTCCCGCTCCCCTATCCTCTGGGGAAGAGAGAAAGGCTGGAGGTTGAGTTAATAATCGATTGTGCAAACACAATAAAGCGTCCATAAAAATCCCTCAACTCTGAGGTTCTCAGAGAACTTCTAGGTTGGTGAACACAGTGAGGCGCTGGGAGGACATGGAATCTCTGAGCACCTTCCCCATACCTCGCCCTCGCACCTCTTAAATTTGGCTGTTCCTAAGTTGTAACATTTATAATAAACTGGTAATAGTACATAAAGTGTTTCCCTGAGTTCTATGAGCTGTTACACCAAATTATCAAACATGAGAGGGGGTCTTGGGAACCTCTGACTTATAGCCAGTTGGTCAGGAGTACAGGTGGCAACTTGGGAGTCTTACGTGGAGGCAGTCTTGAGGGACTGAGCCCTTAACTTGTGGGACTGGATGCTAATTCCAGGCAGATGGTGTCAGAATTGAACTGTAGGACACCTAGTTGGTGTCCACAGAAAATCAGAGGATTGCTTGATGTCCAAAAAACCCACACTTGTGGTGTCAGAAGTGTTGCGAGAGTGAAGAAATAGTTTTTTCATTTAAATGCAATAATGTCATGAGTTGAAAGTGCTATGAAAACAAACAAAGCAGGGTGAAGAAATGGGGGAAGAGGAGGATACTACTGTAGGAGTGCTCAGTGAAGCCACTCTGAGCAGGTGACACCTGAGCAGAGCCTCGACATGAATGAATAAGTCACACAGGTAAATGGAAGAGGAACATTCCAGGCAGATAAAGCAGCAAGGACAAGAGCCTCAAGGAGGGAGCGTGCAAAGGTTGTCTGAGACAGGCAGCAACGTGGTTTGGATGTTGTCCCCTCCAAATCTCATGCTGAAATTGATCCCCTATGTTGGAGGTGGGGCCTGGTGGGAGGAGTTTGGGTCATGGGGGCAGATCCCTAATGAATGGCTTGGTGCTGTCTTCCTGGTAAAGAGTGAGTTCTCACTCTGTTAGTTCCCATGAGAGCTGGTTGTTTACAAGAGCCTGTCACCCTGTCCTCTCTCTTTGGCTCCTTTTCTCACCAAGTGACAAGCCTGCTCCGCTTCACCTTCTGCCTTGACTGGAAGCTCCCTGAGGCCCTCACCAGAAGCAGATGCTGGCACCATGCTTCTTGTACAGCCTACAGAACCATGAAGTAAATAAACCTTTTTCCTTTATAAATTACCCAGCCTCAGGTATTTCCTTTATAGCAACACAGAACAGACCAAGACAGTTAGGAAGCTAAGGTAGCCTGGTGGAATGAGCAAAGGAAAGAGTGACAGAAAATGAGGACAGATCACACAGGGCCCTGTAGGCCATGGTAAGGAATTTGGATTTAATTTTATGTGTAAAAAGATCTCTCTGGCTGCTGCCTGGAGAAAAAGTGGTAGAGGCCAGAGCAAAAGCAGGAGGCCACTGAACAGGTCCCTGTGGTGGGCCAGGCAGGACCATTGGTGACCTGGTCTACAACTGTAGTGGTGGAGGTGAGGGATTCAGGCTGTAGGTTCAGAAGGTAGAGTTGCTGGGATGTACTGATGGATGGCATGTGAGGGGACACTACGATGACAAATTGGTTTTTGCCGTCACCGGCCTGGTGAACGCCTACTTATCCCAAGTTCTCGGCTCGAAGGCTCTTGCTTAGGGAAGAGCTTCTCTGGCAACCTAGACTAGGTGAGGTCTCCTGTACAGGGAAAATATACTAGTCCTACATTTTCAGAACATAAAACTATAATACATGCCTTGCTCTCTTTGCTAGTACTGTTTCTGTGAGCTACTTGAGGATTGGTTTGAGTATGATACTAAAACCTGCCAGGAGCCAGACTCTATTCTGCTCTCATTCACTTTTTCCCACCTAATGGAATGCTCACACATGATATGTTGCCAAAAATCACACCTAGGAAGGTGCTATTATTAGCTCTATTTGACCCAGGAGGAAATTAAAGCTCAAAATAGTTAAGTAATCTGCCCAATGTCACAGAGCTAGAAGCTGGGATCCAAACCCAAGTCCTGCACTAGGTTCCTGCTGCCTCTTCATATAAGAGGACAGAGACAGGGCTGTGTGTTCAGAGAAGAGGAGAAATCACTTAAAAGCTGTGGTCCCCAACCGCTGGGCTGAGGCCCTGTACCGGTCCGTGGCCTGTTAGGAAATGGGTGGCCTATGGCCACCTAAGCTCTGCACCACCCTCCCCCAACCCACAACCACCACAGTCTGTGGAAAAATTGTCTTCCATGAAATCAGTCCCTGAAGGCAAAAAGGTTGGGGACCCTTGACTTAAAGTAAAAATAGGAGGAAAGGTTAGGACATGTTCCTAAGTACACACTCTAGTTACTCATCTGTAAAAAAAATTTGCCCAAAATTTGTAATGTGTTTGTTGATTTACAATAGAGAATTCACCTACTACTTCCCTTAAGCAGTGAGTTAACTGGGAAGGAACAATTCAGGTTAATTCAAAACGAAAACAGACAAAGCAATCCCTGAGAAACCATTTGTTACCAAGTATAGTACTGTAGTAAAATTAAAAACGAACTCCCCCAAACCACTACCAGTTCTGCTGAAATTGTTGTAAAATTGGTTCCATCTATTGGCTAGTGGCCTGTAATTTTTCTTCATACTATTTGTCAGTTTGTCATCATCATCTGTGTGATGATATGATTAATGCCGGCCTCCTGCCCTAGATTAGAAGCTACATGTGGGCAGGGTCTATGCCTGTTTTGCTTATATTATGCCCCTAGAACCCAGTTTGGTAGGCATCCAATTTTAACTGTTGCATAAATGGATATTGCTGTTGCCATTATTAACTTTTTGGAAAGCAATGAAGCAATATATAATAAGAGCTATAATTAAAATGCAATATTATTTGGCTAAATAATCTACTCCTTTGGGGAAACATTCAATGAAAGGAGAAAAATAAAGGAAAAGAAAGATATGGAGATATTCACTCCTGCATTATCTATGAAGGTAAACAAACAAGAAACATGCCAGGGAATGGTTTTATTACATGATAATACATCGATATAATGGAATAATATACAGCCTTAAAATCACACTCATATGGATTCTAAGCATGTGGATGGTAATATTCAAAACAAAACAAAAAAGTATGTACTTCTCAAATTCAGTAAGGTGGTTGGGCAGAAAGGAAACTGACATATTTGATTAGTGAGACTAAAACCTAGAACTGGTATTTGTTAGCAATCTGGGCTCTGGGCCTCTCTCTTGAGTACACTAGCAGGTGGGGCCTTCTGCAGTGGCTGACCCAGGAGAATTGCTCAGCAAACACCCAATGAACAGGATTCCACAATTTGTGTTCTCCCAATCTTCAGTAATCTGTCTAATTCCCAGTTCCATCTACTATCCAGTTAGGAAGCCCTATAAGCCGCAAATTCATTCAACCACCCATCCAACAAACATTTGTTAAGAACTATGTGTCAGGCACTCTTCTAAGTGCTGGGCATGAGAAATGAACTAAACAGAGTTCTTGCTCTCATGAAAGTCACAGTTTCGTGGAAGAGACAAGGCTACTAAAGAATAAATGATGTCAGGCCATTCCCGCTTCCATTTCATCACCGTACTCTAACCTCCTACAGATTTTTCCTTCTCAACCCAGCCTGGCTACCAGTTGTATTTCAAAGTGCAAATTGGAACTCATATGTCCTTATTAAAATATCGTCTAGGCTACTCAGGATTCTGTTTAAATTCCTTATCGTGCACATGAAGCCCTTCAGGTTCGCCCCGGCTCACCTTTCCAGCTTCATGTCCAACAACCTACGCACCGTGCACACGCTGACTTCTTCACGACAGCCACTTTTCTTCTACTCGGAGTGCTCCTTCCACCGGCAATGCTGTCAACTGGCGATCCCCGTCCACCAAACACTGCCGTGTCTGCGTGGCAGGCAACTGCTAGGCCCAGGGACGTCACCCCTCCACGAAAGCTTTCTTCTATCCGGCTCCTTAGAGGCACAGCAGTTATCGCCCAGTCCTACAGTCCTATATGTGGACACGGACTGTGCCGCGTTCATCTCTGCCAAAGGGCAAGCGCCCAGGAATTGTCTGTTGGACGAATGAAAGAGTAAACGGCAGCCTTTCCAAAAATGACGCTCAGAACCTCCGGGCGTCTACACTTCCGGGTGGCTCTGGAGGGAGGGAGGGAGAAGGGGAGAGTGGTGCCGCCTCTGGGACCGCTCTAGGAGGAGGGCTCGGTGGTCTGGAGGACAAGGAACCACTCGAGGGGAAGGAGCGGCATCGGCGTCGGCGTCTGCGCAGTATCCACCCTCCAAGGGAAGGAGGAGCCGAGATGAGCCCGGGGCGGGGCGTGGGAACCCGGCTGGCCAATTAACGGCACGGCTCTGTGGAAGGGGCGGGGCGCGGTGCAACTGGGAGGTGGAAGGAAGGGTCCATCGCATTCATCAGCGGTTTGTGACTCCAGTAAGGAGGAGAACAATGATTCCCCCACCCCCCCAAAATCTTTGCCTTATGTGATTAAGAGTCGCACCGTGCTGGATGCAGCCGTGTCCTTCTACTCCTGAGTCTTCACTGTAACTCTTCACTGTTTAGTGTCTCAAACCTCCATTCAAATGGGGTCCACCCAAGCCACTCACCCACCTTAACGTTTGCTCCAGTAAGTATCTTTCTTCTCACTGCTCATAATGCTGTCCCATTTCTGGGTCAATCTAATACGCAGTGGAAGGATGTTAGGAAGAGACCAGTTCACGCCAGCCCTGATGACCTGCACAGCAAATTTCTGGGCTATACCGACTTCCAAGCCCCTCCTACATTTACTTGTCTGTAGTTTAGGTTAAAAATAAAAGTATTCGGAACAGGTAGAGGAGAGTGCTAGTTTCTGACTGTCATAATGTCACGGTCCTGTTCAGGGCTGAACTCTGAAGTGTTGCCCCAGTTCTTGGGCTCTGGGCTTGGAAGAATTACAAGCCTTGATCCACCCCAGGGAGAGAGATGACAGACACTCAGGAAGAATGTGTGAAGAATTTATTGTAAGGAAAATTTAAGGGTGCAAAACGAAAGACCTTCCATAAGGCGAAACGGATCTGTCTCTGCGACTGGAGAGGATGCTAATTAACTCCAAAATTCCTCCTTTTATATGCTAGTAGTTTATGTTGATGTAAAGGTCAGCTCTGACCTAAAGAAAATTCCCAGAAGTCTTTCCTGGGATTTTTTGAGGCATGGACATAACTTAAAGGTTATGTTCCAGTCATTCCTTTCTCCTATGCATGTGATGGGGAAAGTCACCATTTATGGTGTTTTTCTATTTTCTGATTGATGGTCACTGTTCCATGGTCTAATTACCGCATTCTTTAAGACTGAAATAACTGTTTCCTCTGGTTATTTTTCTGTAACTATTTTTTTTCTTATTGTTTTTCTTTAACTGTTTCCTCCTTCGTGTTTTTCTGCCCATATCATTCCATTACCTCTTGTTTTTCTGTCCCTAACATTAATAAATAAATTTTGCAGACATAAGGTCACCGAGACCCAGATTTTGGCCACAGTCCTTGGGAATGAGGAGCTAACAAGCAAGGGAAGAGGTTCCACATGATTAAGTGCATAGGACCTGGAGCCTACTTGTAGAGTATTTGATTCTTTTCTTTTGTGCTATGTTATTTAAAGCTGTGATTTAGATGATATTCTGTCTCTGGTCTGGACTGCAATTTTCTTCATTGGAAAAATATCTGCTTTTTCAGATATTTTTGAAAATATCTGAAAAATATTTTCAGATTTTTTTGAATTGAACTTTTTTGAATTCAATTCGTGGTGGCCTGTAATCCTAGCTCTCTGGGAGGCCGAGGCGGGTGGATTGCTCAAGGTCAGGAGTTCGAAACCAGCCTGAGCGAGACCCCGTCTCTACTAAAAATAAAAAGAAATTAATTGACCAACTAAAAATATATATACAAAAAAATTAGCCGGGCATGGTTGTGCATGCCTGTAGTCCCAGCTACTCGGGAGGCTGAGGCACAAGGATTGCTTGAGCCCAGGAGATTGAGGTAGCTGTGAGCTAGGCTAATGCCACGGCACTCACTCTAGCCTGGGCAACAAAGTGAGACTCCTGTCTCAAAAAAAAAAATCTGCTTTGCAACATGATTCTCAGGAACACATTGCAGCAAAAAGGAGATTTATTTTATTTCCTTTCAACTAAACAAGCTTCTCTGTAACTTTTATTCTTTTCCCTTTTGCCTAGTTTTTCACCACGTGGGCAGTTCACTGTATCTGCACGCTGATAAGACCTAACAATCTCCTAAGGTTTTGTTCTGTGTAACTTTGGCTCTGCACCTGAACTTCCTGTTTCTCCGTTGTTTCACTTCCTGTTGCTTCACTCCTGCTCTATGCCTTCGGCTCCCATGATTTTCTGCCTACTTTGCCTCTGTAACTGACAGCTAGAAGAATGATTTATTGACAAAATCATAAAAGCTCATTTTAAATGAGCCTTGTGGTCAAGTGCTAATAAGAGGGTATGTTCTTGGCCACAGTTTCAGTAAAATAGTCAATTGTCTCTTTTTGTATCCTTGAGCCTATATGATTGGAAATCAAATAGACATCAGTGTATTCCCTTTTATTTTGTTCTTAGCTTATTTTCCTTAAACTTCAACAAATTCAGCAATATTTTCACCAAGTAGAAGTGTTAAGCTACACAAGAGAATTCAGATGTATTCATTCATTAATTCATTCACCTATTCATTTAGCAAATATTTATCCTACACATGTGCAGATTATTAGTAGAAAATGAGCCTAAAATTGACTTAAGCTCAGCTAAGGGCAGAATCCCTAGTCTCTGCCTCCCCAAGATCTACAAGGCAACAGTTACAATCATTACATTTGATGGTATCACCAGCATACTTAATGGCTTAATGCACAGTTTTTTAATGTCTAAAGCTGCTAGAAATATTAAATTAATTATCGCCCACTTTACTTTTGCAACAACAAAGAGAAAGCAACCTTTATTGATGATGATGCTTCAGGCCAGAATTTAATTTACTGTTGCAATGAGGCAGAGTTGTGGCAGCACCAGGAGGGACTTATGAGGACTTAGCTCCCCACAATCTCCATTAGCCTCCCCAAATCACCTGCAAATAATTAGATTATTGGCTTTACTAAAATCTGAATGTTAAATATGCAGACACAGCTTCACCCCCTTCCAAGCACGTTACTACCCTATTCTGGAACTTTCACTGGTCCTCTCCTGCTTTTCCTTCATAGCATCCTAGCTGCAAGCTCCTAAGTATCTAAGACAGTCAATATTGGTCAGTTGTTTCAAGGTCGTCCTGAAGGAAACCGTGATTAGTTGCCACCAAGAAAAGCAACTTACTGCCACCACAAGAATAAACATAATAAGCATATCTGTCAGCCAGAAAACTCAAAACTATTTTCATGGAATGATGTTTTTACATCTACTTATTTCAGCACACAAATATTTTCTGTTGTTTACTCTTGAATAAAGTTGCTATCAGAGACAAATCTTATCCTACTATATTGATATTCAGAAACACTTTCCCCTTTAAGCTTGCATCTAAAACTGCATGGATATCTAATCAATAGTTTCCCTTTTCCTTAAATGGGGAATTGGTGATATTTATATTTTCTTTTGTTTCTGCATGTGAAACTGGGAGTGGAAACGAGATGTTGACTGAAAAGCAGGAACATTCTGCAGAAGCGAAATCACCAGTTGCTATATTGGGACGATGGTCCCAGCTGCTGTCCACACAGCCGTGTCTGTGATTAGGAGGACAACTTGGAGCAGCACTGGGGAAACTCTGTGTGGGAGAAACTGCAGTTCAGGCTCAATGATTATTGTACATCAGATAGTGTCTACAGAAAAGAAACCCCATAGGTATTTAGCAGAATTCAGAACACAGCATCACAGTATTCATGTTGGAGATAAAAATCTTTGAATGTAATGAGTATGAAAAAACTTTTACATCTTATTGAACATCAGAAAAAACACTAGAGAAAAGCCATGTGAAGGTAAGGAATGTGGGAAAGCATTTCGGTGAAGCTCAGATCCTACTAGAAACAAGAATATTTGTAGTGGAGAGAAATTCTATGAATGTGATAAATGTGGGAAAACCTTCAGCCAGAGTCCAAATCTTAAACAACATTGTATAATTCATACAATAAAGAAATGTAGTTAATGTGGAAGAGCTTTCAGGGAAAATGAAAACTCATTAAGTATATATAGTTCATATTGGAGAAACAATCTTTAAATGTGGGAAATCTTTAATTAGAGTCCCACACCTTATTCAACATCAGGGAATTCACACTATAGAGAAACCAGATGACTATAAAGAGGGTGGGAAACTCTTCAAGCAGGGCTCAGGCCTTCGCAGGCACCAGGAATTCACAGTAGAGAGAGGCCACGAGAGTGTCATGACTATTGGAAGCTTTCAATCAGTGCTCAAACCTGAGGCCACATCAGGTCATTCATATAGAAGAGAAACCAAGAAAGTGTAGCACAGGTAGAAATGCATTCTGGGAAAGTGTAAAACTTATTCAAAGCCAGGCACAATGGTGCATGCCTAATGTCCCAGCTATTTGGGAGGCTGAGGAGAGAGGATCGCTTGAGGCCAGGAGTTCAAGGCCACCCTGAGCAACATAGCAAGACCCCATCTTTAAAAAAAATAAAACAAAAACACTTATTCAGCATCAAATAATTCAAACCGGAGAGAAATCCTATTTGTGCAAAGCATGCAGGAAAGTTTTTGGAGGAAGTTCAACCCTTCCTCAGAAAATTCCTACTGGAGAAAAAAAATCTTATAATTGCAAGTAATGTGGGGAAGACTGCCGTTGGTGATTAAGCCTGATTCATCATCTGAGACTTTGTGTTGGAAAAAAAAGCCTTGGGAATGTGAAGAATGTGGCAAAGGTTCAATTCAAGCTCACCTCTTTCTGGCTATCAGAGAATTCATAGTGAAGAGATGATTTGGGGGAAGTTTTCTGGGGTACACTAAGTTTATTAAACATCAGAGCATTTATACCAAAGATTAGTTCTGCAAACATAAGATTTTTAATGATATGCCTTATTCCAAAGTACATAATTTTCTCCTGTCCAGCAGTTTCTTAGTACTTCATACTTCCATAATGCTAGTTAGCACATGGTCTTCTTCTTTTTTTTCTTTTTTAGACAGAGTCTCACTCTGTTGCCCCGGCTAGAGTACCTTGACATCAGCCTACCTCAGAGCAACCTCCAACTCCTGGGCTCAAGCAATTCTTCTGCCTCAGCCTCCTGAGTAGCTGGAACTACAGGCATGTGCCACCATGCCCAGCTAATTTTTTCTATATATTTTTAGTTGGTCAGTTAATTTCTTTCTATTTTTAGTAGAGACGGGATCTTGCTCTTGCTCAGGCTGGTTTTGAACTCCTGACCTTGAGCAATCCGCCTGCCTCAGCCTCCCAGAGTGCTAGGATTACAGGCTCCAGCCACCGGTCTTTTTTTTTTTTTTTTTGAGACAGAATCTTGCTTTTGTTTCCCAGGCTAGAGTGAGTGCCATGGCATCAGCCTAGCTTACAGCAACCTCAAACTCCTGGCTCAAGCAATCCTGCTGCCTCAGCCTCCTGAGTAGCTGGGACTACAGGCATGCGCCACCATGCCCGGCTAATTTTTTCTATATATATTAGTTGGCCAATTAATTTATTTCTATTTATAGTAGAGACAGGGTCTCGCTCTTGCTTGGGCTGGTTTCAAACTCCTGACCTTGAGCAATCCACCCACTTCGGCCTCCCAGAGTGCTAGGATTACAGGCATGAGCCACCGCACCTGGCCCACATGGTCTTATATTTTGACTTGTTTGAGATTTTCTCCCATGCCATGGGGTCTTAAATATATATTTATTAAAGTTAAATCTAAAAAGTAACAAATATAGGAAAACGGGGACCTTTTGAAGTCCAGAACTCCAAAGACATTGAAGGTGTTTGAGGGCCAAGACAGAGAGTCTGTTCTGAATGAAATGAAGGTGTAGTAGCAGCATTGAGCTTCCTCTGATATCACTGTGGCTTATTCATGGTTGCACCCTGTAAATATGGTCACTGCCATGAGCTACAATTCTGTATTGTTAAGGATTTCTTCAGTTGGGTAATGGTTGGGCTACTATGCTTAAGTTCAGAGTTAAATGGAATAATCTTAATTTTCAGTGTAAAGTAGGAGGATGCCAATGTGATGAAAGCTGTGTGTTTGTTTTATATTAAGATCTTAGAGGACCAGACTTGGTGGCTCACACCTATAATTCCAGCACTTTGGCAGGCCAAGGTGGGAGGATCACTTGAGGCCAGGAGTTCGAGCAGCATAGATCCTGTCTCTACAAAAAATTTAAAAATTAGCCAGGTGTGGTAGTGGCATGTGCCTGTAGCTACTTGGGAGGCTGAAGTAGGAGGATTGCTTGAGCCCAGGAGTTCAAGGTTACACTGAGTTATGATTGTGACACTGCCTTCCAGCCTGAACAGCGAAAAACTTAGAATTTTACAGCAGGAAGTGATTGAAGATCTTTAACTGCCCATTTTTCAAATGACAAAATATGATCAAAGAGGTTGGGTAATTTTCTCAAGGTTTAGTAGCTAGGAATGGAAGCCCTCCTAGGTCTTTTGACTCTACAAATTATCTACAGCAATTTTTTAAGCACTGGTATCTCTTTTGATAGGTGGTAGGTCAACTTTTTTATAAAAGTAATTTTGATTTAAAACCATCTGTTTCTGGTCAAAAGTCAGGTAGCTCAGTTGTTCATGAAGAGGGATGCCTGCGTGAGCTAGATTACTCAAAATGTTTCAGTATAAAAGAAACCCCCTCCCAGCACCTGGAAATGTTCAAATGAGAGAAAGGATGTTCCAGGAGGCCAGCTGTGACTAGGAGCTGAACAGAGGTTGCTTCCTCTGAAAAATATTAATAAGATCCTATCAAGCTGGGCAAATCTAAGAGCTAGCAAAGGCATTGAACCTTCCTAAATGTCAAAATTGTTAAGATATTTTTAAAACTCTTGAGACTTTTATTGATTTAACAACCGAGAGGATGAAAGCAGTGGAAAAACATGAAGACATCTATACCTTATATAAGGTTTTCTATACTGGGAAGGTTTTTGTTCAGCGTTGAATTGCCTGAGCTTTGTGTGTTACGGGCTGAATTGTGTCCCTCTAAAATTCCCATGTTGAAGTCCTAACCTCCAGGACCTCCGAATGTGACTGTATTTGGAAATAGGTTTTATTTTTTAAAATAGGAAATTAAGTTAAAATGAGGCCATTAGGGAGGGCCCTGACCCAGTATGACTCGCGTCCTTCTAAGAAAAGGAGATGAGGACACAGACACACAGAGGGAAGACGATCCGAAGACACGAGGAGAAGGTGGCCGTCTGCAAGCTCAGGAGAGAGGCCTCGGAAGAAACCAACTTTCTGACACCTTGAGCTCAGACTTCCGGCTTCCAGAACTGTGAAGAAATCAACTTCTGCTGTTTAAACCATCCAGTCTGTGGGACTTCGTTATGGTGGCCTTAGCAAACTAATACAACATGCAAGTCAGCTAGCTCGTGTCTTTTATACAGAAACATTCTTTACACAGTCCTGGCAAGTGCACAATATTCCTTTGGGTTCAGTTTTTCTTTTTCTTTTTTTTTTTTTGTTCATCAAAGCTGTCATGCATGGTTCAGTTTTTCTATTCCAGAGTTTTCTCGATCTGATTCCCAGGCAAGCCTTGTGCACTCCTAGCCTCTGATTGTTTCTGCCGTGCCCTGAGTGTGGGATGCAGACATGGATTTTCAGACACTGGAGTTCAACTCCAAAAAGGCACTAGCAAAAGGTCTTTGTACATCTTCTGTGATCATGGAGGGTCTGTTGGCCCATTGCTATTCTCAGAAGCCTCCTTGGTGTTCTGGAGGGGATTTGGGGAAGGGGACAAGGGCTGAGCTTCAGAAGCACGTAAGGGTGTTCTTTCTGTGCTCAGTGAGGGGCTAGACTCGGAGACCTGTGAGCGCTAACACACTTTCCTTCCCTTCTCTGGCCAGGCCTGGATTGTCTCACTTGCCCTCAAATCTCGGAGCTTCTAGCTGTGCCAACCCTCAGGAAGATTTGGATGGGAAGCAGTCTTCATTCTGGCCGTATACTCTGCAGCCGCACAGGACAGTGGGGCAGGAGCCAGGTCCCAGTTGATCCTGATGAAAAGTCTGATAAAGATGTTTAGCCTGAGTGGCAGGATAGAAAGGCCCACCTTTGTGAAGTTATGTATTGAAGACTAATAGTGCCGGCCACATGCCCAGTACTATGTGAAGTATAAGCACTACAAAGATAAAAAACCAAAATGCAATAAAAACCCTGGCATCTCCCCAACACAAGCTCGTTGTCTAACGAGGGAAATTATAGATAGAGCAATGATTACAATCAGATGGGCAGTATGTTCTTATTCAGTTGTGCCCCTCACCAGAGCATAGAGAGGAAGGGTCTTAGACACAAGACTGCAGAGTTAAATACAAATTTAGAAGAGGAAATGGCAGAGCTGAGTTTTGAAAGGTGAGCAGTAGTTGGTCAGGTGTTAACCTTCATGACTTGGCTGAGGTCATGTTTTTCAGGCCTCTCCTCTGTACAGTTCCTGTTCCATGAGGTATTCTCCTGAAGGAAGGCACAATGTACAACTCATACAGTATTTTACAGTTCTATAGACCTTGTTTTCCTCTTGCAAATTCTGAGTTACTGGAGGAATTTTTACTGGGTGCATTTTCCCAAGCATTTTATTTTTAGGTACATTCTACCAATATAGAGCATTTATGTGAAAAAGAAAAGATGAGTTAAAGGGCATAAGTTGAAAGACTAGTTCTCTTAATACTTTCATGCATTCAAAACTCATGTCCCAATGAGGCCTTTAAATTCCTATAACATCATGTTAAATTCCCTTAACAGTCCCTTTTAGAAAAAACCTAAAATTATATGCAGCTATAAGGTCAATGGAATTTTTCTGAATGCTTCTATTCATTTCAGGGAAATTTATCAGAAGAAAGAGAAAGGATCATTTCAGTTCTCTCTGGAAATCTTATTTTAAAAAAAGACCTGGAACTTACACGTGATTTCTCATGAATTCCAAATTCTCCTGAATCCCAAAAAGGGAAGCACAATGTTAATGTTATGCTTGTTTGGGGTTTTTTTGGTTTTTATAACAAAAAAAACCAAAGCTGGGCCATGCGCAGTGGCTCACGCCTGTAATCCTAGCACTCTGGGAGGCCAAGGCAGAAGAATTGCTCAAGGTCAGGAGTTCAAAACCAGCCTGAGCAAGAGCGAGACTTTGTTTCTACTAAAAAAATAGAAAGAAATTAATTGGCCAACTAAAAATATATAGAAAAAATTAGCCGGGCATGGTGGTGCATGCCTGTGGTCCCAGCTACTCGGGAGGCTGAGGCAGAAGGATTGCTTGAGCCCAGGAGTTTGAGGTTGCTGTGAGCTAGGCTGATACCATGGCACTATAGCCTGGGCAACAGAATGAGACTCTGTCTCAAAAACAAAACAAAACAAAACAAAACAAAAAAACCTCAAAGCTATGTTTAGACTAGATAGAATGGCAGAATGGTGTGTGCTTTGTGTAGACTTCACAGTATATTGAGGCCTATAAAATAATCAGTCTTGAGATCTATCTATCTATATATGTATATACTCCATACACACGTAATAGGACTTGAAGCATAATATTACTCTTTTATATTACTAAAGACCACCCTAATTTTCATATTTTTAATGACATATTAGAATTGGAATATTTTTGATGTTGTGTTTCTGAATATGAGTAATTATTAAGAGAAAATATGACTTTAAAAAAAATGGCTCCAGAAATGCATTAGAGAGAAAAAGGATGGATGCTCAAAATAAGGATATTGTTAAAATGTTATCTATGTTATGGGATCTTTGTGCAATCCCTGACATCATGGTGAATGTGTTTTGTGATTATTACATCATTTGCCTCTCATCCTTTTCATTTCATGTAATTTCTTGGCCACGTAGACAACTGACCACATTTAACCACTCTCAAGATATTTTTCAATCTCTAAGTGACTCTTGCTGACTCCAACGTATCTACCTTGTGTTTACTGTAAACATTTTGAAAAATAAGAGCAATGAGGGGACTAAACTTATCAAATATTAAAACACTTTACAAAGTAAAATAATTACATACTGGAGAACATACAGGCAGATAGATAAAATAGCAATTCAAGGAAAAGATCCAAATTCAAATGGGAATTTAACACATGTTAAAGGCAGAATTTCAAATAGCTGTGCAAAGAGTGTTCATTAGACAGTATTGAGGCAACTGTTTTTATCACGGGTGGGAAAGGGCAAGCTGGTGCATTAGCGTAATCTTTACATTATGTTAAATTCTACTTGGATCCAAGATTTAAATAAAAAATGAATCATAAAAGTACTGTCAGCTGGGCATGGTGGCACCACACACCTATAGTCTCAGCTACTGGGGAGGCTGAGGCAGGAGGATCGCTTGAGCCCAGGAGTTTGAGGCTGCAGTGAGCTATGATGACGACTCTACATCTAGCTGGGGCTACAGAGCAAGACTCTGTCTCCAAAATAGAAAAGTACTGTTAGAAAGGGTTAACATTTTAACAACTTCTGTAATTTCATATTGTGAGACTGGGACCATGAACAATGAATGGGCTGACCCCAAAGCAGGCACTTTTGCAGCAGAATCACAGATGGATGCAATGAGATGGTCCCATGGGATGCTGACCAGGTCCCTGAGTTTGGAGAAGTCTGTGACTATGGAGACATCTCAGAGAACCCTTTTAGGGATGCCCAATCCATGAGTGTGATGAATATGGAAAAAACTTGCCACTCCATTTACATTTTTTAGAAGTGAGAAAAACCCCAAGTAAGATATTTTGGCCAAGCCTTGGTACAGAATTTAGAATTTATTTGATATTACAGTATTCATATTAGAGAGAACATCTTTGTTGTGAATACAGACAATTTTCCTTGGGGCTCCCATCCCATTGAACATTGTAGCGTTCATCTTGGAGAGAATCCCAGGGCACGGGGAGGCACTGTCAGCATTCCAACACAGCGTCAGCTAATTCACATGCAGCAGAAACTCTACAAATGCATAAATGTGCACGGGCTTAAAGTAAAGCTCATTCAACGTCAGAGAATTCACACTGGAGAAAAACCATATGTACGTAATGGCTATAAAAATGCTTTTGGATGGTGCTCAGAGCTAATTAGACATCTGGGATGTTGCAGCAGAGAGGGGCCCTCTGAGTATAATGGATGAGGAAGAAGGTTGAATCAGAGCTCCATCCTTAGACAATACCAGCTAATTCATTCGGGACTTAAACTGGTCCTATGCAATGAATATGGAAAGCTATCTAGGGGAAGCGTGGTGTACATTGAACATTAGGCCATTCATTCTGGAGAGAAGATTATGAGGATAATCAATGTGGAAAATCACTTGGGGATAGCTTAGCACTTTTTCATCACTGGAGAATTCACAGGAAAGAATTGCTCTCATTGTAGAGGCTGTGGGAGAGCTTTTTTCAGTAATCAGGCTAATTCATACTGGAGACAAACCTCGGTGATGAAGACTGGGGAAAAGCCTTCAGTTCTTTTCCTTATTGGACTTCAGAAAATCCTTGGTAATACACAGGGAAACTTTCTGGGGGAATTCAGGCTTTATTAAGCAGCATATTAAAGCATTAATGCCATCAAAGTAGGGGTTTAAGCCTTTTTACTTTTTTCACCACAACCAAAGCAATCCTTTCTCTGATTATGTCATAGGATTTCTTTTTGTCTCTAATGACTTGTCTTCCTGAGTCCTTTTATAGGCTCGGGTTCATCCTACTAGGAAGTCAGTACATTTCTTTTGAGTGAGGTAATAAAACAGGCAAACATCAGCATTGCACTGGGTTTGGCCTTCAGAGCCAGGGCTCCATACAATATATAGCGTGCACGAGGACTGCATTGAGGGCTGAGCTTGGGGGCAGAATCTGGCCCCATAAATTTGATAAACTTCTAAGGGCCACATCTCCAAAGACTATTCTGAAATAGGAAACACGGTGAGTGGAATGATCTGCATTTATAAGCTCATTAGGAGGATGCCAGTTTATTTTTGTTTTATGTTTTTAAAAACAGATTTAAAGGGGAAGGGCTAGAACTCTTGGTTCATCTTCTCATTTCCCAAGGGAAGGATCAGGTACATTTCCTGTGTTGAAGAAACACACACACACACACACACACACACACACACACACACACACACACAAATCCACATATGAAAGTTGAACCAGAAGAAAGCTCACTCCAGTCTCATCAACTGGCTGCTTTTCTCCTACCAACCACCTCGCTCCTCCTCCTTAGACCAGCATTCTAAGTCTCCCAAAATACATCTTGGCCTCCCCCTATAGGAACTCTCTAATCGAGAAGCAACTCAGGTCTTGTACATTGCTGGCTCCTGGCTTTGCTTAGAGAAGCTAGAAGGAATAAGTAGAGAAAAAAGAGGAGAGGTGGGGAGATGAGGAATGGCAAAATGGGGAGTGCCGGTGCACAGGGACTGGCAACAGAGGGCCACAGTTCAGGCCACTTTATTCGTAAGAGGATCTGAAATGTCACTAAGGTTGACTGGAGAGTAACCAAAAGGTCTAGTTTTCCACCAGTTTAGTTCCTGCCATAAACTCCTTCCAGTTGGTACATGGAACTCACAAAACCCAGCTGTGGGTACTGGTCTCTTTCTCCAGAACTTGTCCGCCCCAACTACCAGCTGCCCATCCCAACCTGCCGCTTGCTCCCACAAGCCTCCATGGCTTCCTGGCTGAAGCGCCGCATCTCAGGCCTTACAACCCCCACTGAGCTTCTTCCTAAAATTTATCACTCAGCTCCATTTTAGAAGACATGCTGAATTTTTGGAACCTTGCTGAACATTTCATTTTATCTTGTCTATGTCCTATAGGATGGGGGAGGGGACTAAGATCTGGACTTGCTTTGTGGGCTGTGACAAATCCTGATTTTTATTTTCTACCCATATGAGCGAGATTTCCAATGTCTAAACTTGGGTTGATTTTCTATCTGGAGCTATAGTAAGAGCCACAGGGCTCTAAGGAGTTGATGACAGAGAGGTTCTAGGAAGAGGTGAGGAATGCTTTAAGCTGCAAGTAGCAGAAATCTGCTTAGAAAACAGAAGTGGGTGATTCCCGGGACAGGCATAATGGCTCAACAATGTCACTGAGGACTCAGGCTCCTTTCGTCTGTCTGCTCTGCCATCCTCAGCAAGTTGGCTTTCCCCTTGGTCTCAGGTGGTTGGCAGAACTAAGTCGTATGCCCACTTGTAAGGCAACTGACAGCAAAGGGAACAAGTAGCAGGCTGCCTGCAACGACAGACACGGGCGAGGCCAGGCCTGGTGAGCCATGGGCAGGCGGGCAGGACAGCTGTGGGGCTGGCCCTCCTCTGCTTTCATAGCGATGCTCTTTCTCTTCCTCTATCATCTTGCTAAAAAATCAGCTTATTTTTCCCTCCACTGTGAGTGGATTTTTCTCCACGCCAAAGCTTATTTTGGGTTTTTCTTCAATCTCCAAGTTTCTTCTTCAGTGTAATTTTGTCTGACACATTGGTCCATCCAGGACCTGCCTGCCTTCTGTCTATACCATCTGACTTTTTTTTTTTTTTTGGTTCAAATTTCCAAAAGTGCACATCTGACTGGCTTTCTTTATGCTTTTGTGCCAGACGACTTCAAGAGTCATTGGCCAGCCTATATTGGACCCTGGTCTGGTCCAATGAGCTTTGTGTCAGGGTGGGGAGGGCACAGAGGCAGCATCACGTGTACAACACAGCCGCCTGGCAGCAGTTCCCACAGAAGGGGCTGTGGGTAGCACAGGGATGGCACCATGGAGCGGAGCATTGACAGAGGGCTCTTATGGGCCTGCCACTGACACAAGAAGACGGCCTACTCTGCTGGAGAGAGAGGCCACACGGAAGAACATGAGGCACCACACACATGAGGGAAAAGTCATTTTGGACATTTCAGCCCCACCAGATCCCATGGGAAAGGAGTTGAAGAAGAAGCTGGCAGATAGAACCAAGGCCCGGGCACAGAGCCCCAGTCGGGCCATCCCGGCCACTACCTGCTATCCCAGCTACTCCAGTTGAAGCCCCAGACATAGTGGAGCAGAAATAAATTGTAAATCCTGACTTATGGACTTGAGAGCATAACCACAGATTCTTAAATCCGCCTTGACTTGAGAATCTCCCCCGATTTCCACAGCAGAAATTCCAGCGACTGCCAGTCGACAGCTTGACGTCTCTCATGAACGTGGTTTCAATAGGGGTCGCAAGTGTTCCTTGCGATCGGTCTGTTAGGAACCTTTCCTGTGGCTTTGACAGGCTGAAGAAGGGACTGCGGAAACAGGACCATTTCAACATGGCCACATAACACACGGAGAAAACAGGCCAGTTAGCCCAGCAAATGGAATTAAAAATCCTGCAATGGAAAAACTTAGAGCTATTAAAAGCATGGGCAAAGGGCAGATTTGGATTTGAATCCCTGCTCCTCTGCTTATTAGTTGCGTGACCTTAGGCAAGTTACTTAGCCAGTTACGGAACCAGTTAAGGAGCGTCAAGATACTGGCGTGGCTGTTCTGGGGGGACTTTCCTGGTGTCCTCTTTGATGGGAGCGGGAATGGGGTGAGAGTACGTCTCTACTTTACAGCTTTCCACCTAGACCCAGTTTCTTGAGTGATTTCCTAGGTGCCTGTACCGCTCTTTGGAATGACCCTTGCCACTCCCGGGAGTGCCCAGGTTAGGGTCACATGCCTCCAGTCCTCTGCTGCTCTAGTGGCTCTCCCTGTTATCCATTTCTGTCTCCTCCACTTGTCTTTGCCATTTCTTATCCAGTTTGGCCTTGGAGGAATGATTCGAGAGGGCATTCTGCAGACTGGCTGTAAACTTCCAGGACTGGAGCACACGAAGCCGGTGACTGGCTGTCTCTTGTGTCCCGGAGAGGAGTGGGGAGCACGTAGGCCTCTGGTAGCAGACGAAGAGGTGGCAGGCTAGGACACTCCCTTTCCTTCTGTCCTGCACACTCACTGACCTGATGGCATGTTCACCAAGTCAAGGGTGGGCTGCGTGGAGGAAGACCTGGGTCCCTTGGGCATGCAGTTCTTGTGGGCTGTGCCAACACTACAGAATAGCTCTTAGTGGCCCTACCATGAATGTAGTTGACTCACTAGCTTTTAAAGCAAGTTGGAAGAAAGCTCGAAGGCTATGTAAAACCCTGGGTATATACCCAGAATTTGTTCCCATTTTTTCAGGGGAGATCGAGATTTTGCAACTAACAAAAAGTAAGGGGCCTTTTCTGTACTTTGTGCTTGGGACCCCAAACTTAGCCATGCACCAGTGGGATGAGGGGCTCACCGGGGCTAGGAAAGGCACAGGTGGGACATTCCAGCACAGTCACTAATGTCTGTTCTCCTTGTTACCTCCATGAAATCCTTGGATGCTTGGTCACTGTGGCGCAGTTATTCACTCAGTAGATACTGATGCCTATGGACTACGTGCTGGATGTTGGGTCAGGCACTGTGAAGACACAGATGGGGCTAAGACACAGGCCTTGCCTTCAAAGAGCTCCAAGTTCACACTGAGGGTGGTCCCTGAGCCAGTTGTATGTAGCCAGGACCCTGTGAATGCACAGCTCTGCAGCAATACTGATTTCTGGCATGTTCCCTGCCTCCCCCTCCCAAGGTCCCTCCCAGGGCTCGGCACAATGCATGGCAACTAGCGACTTCTCTCAGGCAGAGCTGAGGCACGGGGACAAAGCATTTGCCACCTTACGGTTGGTCATCGGAGCTAATCTGGGTGGCCTGCCTGGTGGGGTGGGCTAGGGAGGAAGGAGTGGCCATAAGTACTAGATCTTCTCCGTGTGACCTTGAAGAGAACCACCAACCAACGACCGTCCCGGAGAAGGCAGGCTCCAGTGCTCAGGCAAAGGTAACCCCGAGCCACAAACCCGTCTGCTTAGGCTGCTGCGTCGCGGCCAATCCACGCGGAGCTCCTGAGCATCCCGACGTTCAAAGGAGCTGTGGAGAATCCAAAGGACAGACGTGGTTCTTCTTCAAAAAGCTTTAAGTCTGTTTGAGAAGAAAAAGGCATAAAGAGATAATGAAGGACTCGAGCATGACATGAGTGTAAATGGGTTTTGCAGGCTGTGGATTCTCACGGAACTGCAGGGGGCCCAACTGCAGGCTCGCAGGGTCCTAGGAAGGCTTCTGGGAAGAGGTGGGCTTGGGCCAGGCTTAGAGGATGGCAGGATCCTGAGTGGGGGGTGGGGTGGGGGTGGTAATAGGGGCGGGGGTGGGGTGGGTGCAACACGAGCAATGACCCTGAGCACCCGGGAGAGTGTTAGGTCCTCGCTGCCTTGTGGACTGCAGGGCTCACCCAGCGCTTCCTCGTTCTTGCTGCTGCAATCATAAGACGAAACAGGCAGGGGCCAGCGTGCCCGTGAACACTCCCAGAAATCTGTTTCTCAGAAACGGGGGCTTGTGACAGCCTCATTTCCTACAGTGTCATCATAGCATGAAGCCAGGGCCAAGGACGCGCCGTGAACACAAATGCTCAGCCCTCCTGCCATGGCGCGACGGCGGGGGCTGACCTGGAGGGACAGGTACTCCTCAGAGGCCAGGATTCGGAGAGACATGACGCTGAAGAAAACACCGCTTTGGGGAAATAGCAGACTCTAAGCCCAAACCTTGCTCCGCCGGCGTGATACACGTGGCCAAACATTTGGACAGGATTCTGGCAGAACATCAAAGAATTCGCAGAGCAGAGGAAAGCTTTGAATCATCTGAATGAGGGAAAATTTTCCATTCATCTCATAATTCATACTGGAGAGGCTCTTTATGAATGGCACCAATGGAGGAAAATCCTCAGACGGAAGTGAGCAGTAATTAGGGACGAGAAAATCACAGGGGCGGACGCGGCACAGAATAGAGTGGAACCCACGTCACAGCTCACGCTCGAGCGTCACGCAGGAGAGAACGCACGTCCCCGATGAATGCACCGACGTTCTGAGAAGGCACAACCTCACCCCGCAGCAGATAAGCCATTCTGAGCGCAATCCTTTGAATGTCAAGGATTGGGGTGGTGATCATTTGAGGAGAAATCAGCACTTATTCATCAGCTGACGGTTCCGACTGGAGAGAGGGCGGGTGCTTGTCACGGGTGATGGGGCTCAGGGGGTGCTCTGATCTCATGAAACACGGGAGATCACGGAGGGGGCCCGGCAAGGATTGTCAGAGGGGCTTCAGGGTACGAGTGACATAAAATGCGCACAAAGGAGGAAAACATGATGAAAGAGGCGAGTTAAGAAAAAAGTTTTGTTGGAACTTGCACTTCTAGCACCAGTAATGGCCATAAGGAATGCAGACACCCTCCAGGAGGAGCTTGCTCGGACGCCACGCAGTCCTGCACGTGTGATCTCTGAGGTCCGCTGGCAGGGGCACCTAATGCTGTGCACGACTCGAGAATCCAGGCTCCGCAGTTGTCAGTTTCCTTCTCCCATGGGGCTACAGCTTTTCTTCATCTTCCCTCCTCCTTCCTCTTGTTCTTCAGCAAAGCCCAGTGTCACTTTTTCCGTTCCTGGTCTTGGCCTTGTGAGGGTGTCCTGGCATCTGTGTCTCCACATGTGCTCTGCCTGGCTTGGGATGGCCGGGAAGCCACCTGCCCATCAAGAGGCTGGTGACTACTGGCAAACATGCCCCCGGGGACACTGCTGTGGCTGGTTCATTCGTTCCTGCATTCATTTAAGCAATGTCTTTGGAGCAGCTACTCTGTACCTGGCACTACTCTTTATGCTGGAGATACAGGACAGCGGAGGAGGTGTCAGCAACAAGTGGCTCAGGCAACATTGGGAAGGACAGAGGGGGGATCAGGGAGCTAGTAGCAGCAGCCTTGAGATGACAGGGGTGTCTGTGTTAAAAGGTTCCAGAAGGGTCTTAGGTGGGGGTGCTGGGAGGACGGGAGAAAGACTGATCTAATGACCATGCTATGTGCCAGGCTGGCATGTGGTTTACCACAGCAACCCTGCAAGCTCAGCATCACCTTCCCCCAGAGGACATAAAGTACATGCCCAGCTAGTTAGTGGCAGAGCCGGGACTTGAAGTTAGGTCTGTTGAACTCCAAATGCCATTTCTTCCCACCGCAAGAGAGGGACCTGGTCCTATAGAGACACTATTTCTTGGGATGTTTTTCCAGAGACATGGGAGACAATGAGAGGCACCTAGTGTCCCATGAGAGACAAAGATGAAAGGAAAGAAATGCACTGGTTTGCAGACTCTACCTCGGGGCACAGGAAAAGGCACACTCATTCATTCCTTCACTCATTCGTTTGCCCATGTAGTAAATCTTTACTGAGCCCCATGCAGTGCCAGGCACTGCGCTGGGAACATGCGTGAATACGACTGACGTGGTCCTCGCCTCAGGGGACTTCCATTCTAGAAGGAAGGCAGGCGATCCAGTGTGATACGGGTTTGGAAAGGGGAATTTCTGGGCCCCACGGAGAATTATGTAACCCAGACTCTCGGAGTTGATCACGACTTCTGGAAAGACATAATAACTCATGAAATGCTGGGGAAAGTCTTGCGGAGAGAAGCACGCAGGAAGGCCTGCTGGTGACAGAGTGATCACAGCTGACACGGGCCCAGTGTTGTCTGAAAATAGAGCTGGTGAGGTGGAGAGCGCCAGGGTAGGAGGTGAGAAGAGGGCCCAGGGCCTTCGCGGCCCAACAGGCCTGGTGAGGAGTTTGGACTTGGTCCCGGGACATGATGGGAGACCAGCGAAGAGTGTTAATTTGGGGGGAGTGGTCCGGGTAGCGCAAGGCTGCAGCATGAGGGAAGATCTATCCAAAGATTCGTCAAATTTGGGTAGATGTGGTGAAAGAGTGAAGCATGTGAGTTCTGTCTTTTTTGCTTCATGAACCAAGAAGGTTTACCAAGAGTGCAGTGGGCAGAGTTAGCCAAAAAGCCAGGGGCGACTTGGATGGGAGCTGCTCCTTGCAGACGCCCGGGCTGCGGTTTCCAGCAGGCTTTGGGGCCGACATTCACGAGCAAACACCCCCCTCCTGTGGCCGAGAGCGGTATTGCTGCTGCAGAGGCTCCAGGGAGGGCGCCCAGCCTCGCTGGGGACCTGCTCTAGGTTCTCACGCTGAAAAGCCTGGACCCAAGGAGATTCCTCCCTCTCTTTTAGAGAAACCTGATTAATGGGGAAAATGTACACACACACACACACACACACACACACACACAGAGAAAAAGTGCTAGAAAGACACTTAAATATTACCAGTGATTCTTGCCAGAATAGGTGATTAATTTTTTCTCATTTTGTTTATTTACTTATTTTCTTTGAGACAGTCTCACTCTGTTGCCTGGGCTAGGGTGCCGTGGCATCAGCCTAGCTCACAGCAACCTCAAACTTCTGGGCTCAAGCAGTCCTCCTGCCTCAGTTTCCCCAGGAGCTGGGACTACAGGCATGCGCCACCATGTCTGGCTAAGTTTTTCTATATATTTTTTTAGTTGTTCAGCTAATTTCTTTCTAGTTTTAGTAGAGATGGGGTCTCGCTCTTGCTCAGGCTGGTCTTCAACTCCTGGCCTCGAGTGATCCTCCTGCCTCGGCCTCCCAGAGTGCTAGGATTACAGGCGTGAGCCACTGTGCCCGGCCTGTGTTATATTTTTGTTTTTTTTTTTTTTAAAACAGAAGTGACAGAAAAGTGGCCCAAGAGGGGACTAAGGTGGAGGCAGGTGGCTGGTGTGAGGGCCACAGCCCCAGCCTGGAATTTTCTCTGCAGGCTCCAAACAAGATGTCTCAGGGACTGAACATGGAGCTTCTGCATATTTATCACCTTCTGGATCACTCCTGGCAGTGGACTTTCTGATGGCTCAGACACTTGGCCTGATGCAAGGCCTTCCCACAGCTGAAGGCGCCGCTGGTCTGCCCGCTCCCGTCACAGGACTTCTGTCCGTGTGAAGCTCCCCGATCAACGGCAGCTAACCTGTCTAGAAGAACCAAAGGGCTTTCCACATGCTTACACTTGGGGGGCGGGGGTTCTCTCCTGTGTGGACTCTTGGATGCTGAGTAAGGACTGGGTCTGCCCGGAAACTGTGGTCACTCGTGCTAACACTGACGGGGTCTTCTGCTTCTGCAGTGCTCTGACTTGGAACAAGGGGCTCACCTGGCATGTATCGTTCCTCTCTCCTGCTTGAAACTCTTCTCTTGGGAACAGGAGCTGCTCAGCCTCCTCTCTGAGAAGCTCCCTGATGCTGCTCGAAGGTACTGGAACATTCTGTGGTGTCTCTCAGCCTTGTCCGCAGAACTTCCCTAAATGGTCTGCCTGAGGTCACTCATGGGATCACCTTTCAGAAAGTTCCTGATTGGAGATGAACTTCTTGTTCTCAGTCCTGATGTCATCACCTGAAATCACACACAGGAAATTCAAATATGATGTGTTTCCTGTACAAAAAAGGACAACTCAATACAATCTGTGCCTACCACAGGATTCGATTCAACAAATTATGGCATAAAACACAACAATGAAAAATGAGGCTTATCAGACATTTTTTTAAAGCAGGTTAAATATTATATATGCACTGAGATTTTGAATTACTTTCATTTTCTTTTTAGCCATATCTGTATTTTCTAAATACAAGGCATAACCCTCAAATTATGATGATACAAACCTGGGAGAGGATGAGGACAAAGCAGGGGACTAAAGCAGGGGGTGGGGGCATGCGGGAAGCGTGGGAGATCTGGAAGGATAACGTGAGCTCTCCTGGTCACACAGGAGGAGGGTGTGGTCAGCAGGTGGCTCAGGAGGCTGCCCAAAGGGGTGAAAAAAGTTAGTGACCTCCCTGAGTAGAGTTGAGTCCTGGGGCATCTCCCTCCAAGGTGGGAGGAAGGCGGGAAGGCAGCCACAAAGCTCACAAGCACCTCTCCAGGCAGCAGTGGACTGAGACCTGCACAAAGGGGAGTCAGGGGGAGGGAGCTGGGGGTGGAGGCCGTGTCTTGGGTTGGACAAAGACTCACATGCATCATAAACGATAAGCAAAACAGCAACTTAGAGATGTAAGCACCCTGTGGTTTAGTACTTCCTCATCTTTTATTTTATTTGATGCTTGCAGATGAGGAAACTGAGGCTCAGAGAAGTGAAAGGACTTGTCCAAGATTCAAGAGTGCACAGCTAGTATGCAGTGGAGCTGGGACCTGCATCTTTTCACTGTCCTGTGTGTGTGTGGGTGGCTGAGGCCAAGGCAGATGCCAAACCCCTTAACAACTGCCAGGGCCCAAACACTGGCCGGTTAGAAGAGATGCTGGTCCTGGGGCCTGGAGGCCTCTCATCGGACCAGGAGATAATCATTACATGCTGGATCCTGGAGTGGTCCTGAGGGGTGGGGGGCAGGTAGCTGGGGTGACCCAGGTGGCTGGCAGGGTGCTCGGGAGCACAGAGCAGAAGCATCTCAATACTTTAACAACCCATCCCTCTGCTCTGGCAGGCACCAGATGAGTGTCATTCTGCCTCTGGCCTCCCCCTATTTCTATGTCCCATGGATACCAATGGTGACAGGAGACTCTAGAAGTTGTCCAGAGTGTCAGTTCTTTCAGAGTGGCAGCTCGCAGTCAGACCACACTGTAGAGAGAAGGAAGCTTACATCTCCCTGATGCAGGCTGTCACGGACATGTCCACAACTGTGGAGTCAACTCTTGGTTCCTCGTGCGAGATCCGTGGGCACACAGCAGCTCCGTGGTGTTGGCATTTGGCTTTGCAATGAATGCGAATAGTCCTGTTATAAAGGAATGTAGTCACCCAGATCTGAGAATTTATAGCAAAAAGAAACAGCGAGGTAATGACTCCTCTTGAGGGAGAGACAGAAGCACAGCCCACCTCTCCCGCTGCCACTCCTCCTCTGGGATTGGGGTGATGCCTCATCGGGTCTGCTCCCTTGATTCTCCAACCCCGTTTCTCCCTGCATCAGGCCCCGGTACATCCCACAAAGGGGCTTGATCTCTCACAGGTTCCCTTCAAATCCTGTGGCCAGGCTTTATGAAGGAAAGATGAAGATGTGATGTTATTGTCAATAAAGTGCAGTTTGGCTAAAAAGCTGCCACACCACAATTCAAAAGAGCAAACATCATGCACAGTGCACACTCCGGGAATGAAGGAGCTCAGCTGTGGCCCGGATCCCCCTGGGCAGCTGAGAGGAGACTGTCACTCTCCTTGGCGTACTTCTGGGTTCTGGACTTTCCGAGCTCTCATACTAGTCTGCTGACGACACGTGGCTCCAATGCGGATCTGTAAGCTGCGACGTTCTGCCTGCTCTGCAACACAGCAGGACCCATGAAAAAGGAACAAGGACCCTGGGGGTTCCAGCTTTTCACCACTGGCTTGGAAGGGGGCGCTCTCAGGATTCACGTTTGAACAGGGTCTCAACTGGCTGAAGGTGGTGATATGTGGGGATTCTTGTGCTCATTGTGGAGGTGACATTTACCCTAGAAAAATTCTTGTTCTGGAGCCAATGAAGAAACCTGGCAGCTCTAAGGGGAATAAGGGAGATTACTTGCTTTTTTTCTCTTTAGGAAATTTCTTGTTCCATCCCCCCCCCCCAGTATATTTCTTTAAAAATTATTTGATTGCAGAGCAATGTCTATTTATTGCAAAAAATAATTAAATGGTACATACTTATAAAAATGTGCAAAGGGAAAGTCCTTCATAACTCTATTTCCCAGAGATAATCTAAATTAAATTTTGATCCAATTGTTGATACAAAGTTAGTTTTAAAAACTAAATAGCTTTTATCAACAGAGTAAATAGACACCCTACAGAATGGGAGGAAAAGTTCACAAGCTACACATCTAACAAAGGACTAATATCACGGATCTACAAAGAACTCAAATAAATCATCCAGAAAAAACAAATAACCCCATCAAAACGTGGGTAAAAGAGATGAATGGATTTTTTCGAAAGAAGATAGACAAATGGCCAACAAACACATGAAAAATTGCTCAACATCACTAATCATTAGGGAAATGCAAATTAAAACCACATGCGATTTGGCCTTACCCCTGTCAGAATGGCCAGTATTAAAAAGTCAAAAACCAATAATGTTGACAGATGCAGTGAAAAGGAAACTTTTCTACACTGTTGGTAGGAATGTAATTGAATACAACCTCTATGGAAAACAGCGTGGAGATACTTCAAAGAACTAAAAGTAGACCTGCCATTCAGTCCAGCAATCCCACTACTGGGTATCTCCCAAGGAAAAGATGTCATTTTATCAAAAAGGACACCTGCACCCGAATGTTTATCACATATCACAGCACAATTCACAAGTGCAAAGATAGGGAATCAACCTAAGTGCCCATCAACTGGATAAAGAAAATGTGTATGTGTATACACACACACACACACACACACACACACACACACACACACACGGAGTACTACTCAGCCATAAAAAGGAATGAAGTGACTTTTGCATCAACTTGGATGGAACTGGAGACCATTATCCTAAATGAAGGACCTCAGGAATGGAAAAACATACATCATGTGTTCTCACCTATAAATGGCTGTTAGACTCATGGTCCAAATAAGGCCTACAACGTTGTGTTTGGCTGGTAAGTCTTTTAATCTACAGGTCCACTTTCTTCTTTAAAAAAATTTTTTTAAAACCTTGTAATTTATTTGTTGAAGTATTTCAGATGTCTGTCCTCAAGATGACATGACACTTGACAAAGGTTTGAGCGCCCGTTCTGTGCCAGGCATTGTGCTTTGTGCTAGAAATGAAGGGGCGAGCAGGCAGCCATGGTCTGGACCCTCGATTTTGGACTAGCCATTGCCTATCTCTGGCCTCGGATCCCTCTTTTCTAACAGAAGAGGACTGGGCTAGATGAAATATAAAGTCTCCACTCTGACCCAGTCTGTGGCCCCACGCTGATCACTAGGATCTACTCTGTGACTCTGCGTCAAACTCCAGCCAAACACATTCCTAGGGAGCCGAGCCCAGCCGAGCCGAGCCGAGCGGAGGGAGGCGGGCGCCCCAGGCCAGGAGGGGGCGGGTCCGGATCCACGCAGAGGCGCAGCGTCTCGGGTTCCTGCGGCCCGGCTTCCCGCGAATCCAACCCGGGTCGCCGGCCGAAGTAACGCAGGAGGCTATCTCCCGGGACGCCAGACTATCCTCACCGTCCAAAGGGGCGCACTCGCTCTGACCACTGTGCCGGTCTGTGGCCTGCAGTGGCCGGTGGCGAGCGCTAACGGCAACCGCTCGGCTCTCTGGGCGCGGGCCCGGCTCCCTTCCAACTACAATTCCCAGAGTTCTCAGCGGCAAGCCGGTTGCCACGGAGACTGGCCAGGCTAGAGATCAGCAGGCTCGGCTCTGGGACCGTCTTGGCCTAGGCCTGCTTGTGACCGTGCGCAGGCTACGCCCACACCTGTGGCTTCAGAACAGCCCCTCCACGTGCCCCTGGCCTTTCGTTCTACAGTCGGAAGAGGCCGAGCAATTGGACCAGTCCAGGGACCATGGGAAAGCTGAACTACATTTCCCAGCATGCGCCAGGCGCAGCCACTTCCGGTCGTGAGGTACCCAAACGGTAACATTGTGGAGCTGTTGCCAAGGAGTCAAGTCCCGGGGTATTGGGTCCCTGACGCTAGCGGACAAAGGGGCAGGAGTCAGAGGAGAGAGCTACAGGAGGGGTGAATGGGGAATTCTGTTATAAAGCATCGCTAAAGAGAATGTCCCCTCTGTTTGCCCACCTTTCATGGACCCTCAGGGCCAAAGCGATCGTCGCACAGCCCTCTGGGAAATGCAAGCGACGCTTTCCCAGGAACTATGGGAACTGTAGTCACTGATTACCTGCCACTTCCTCTAGCATATAGACAAGCCAGGAACGCCGAGAACAGGGAATAAAGCCCTCTACATTCGTGTCCCCTCAAAGGCAAATTTTGCCTCCTAAGTGCTTACAGAATTTGTCCCAATCTTATGCCAGCCCTCAGTGCTGTGTTTCAGGCACTTTTCATTTCCTAAGTGGAGCATTTACCTGGTTTTCCTAACTCCAGTCGTCTGCTTATTAAGTCTGTTCTCCACACCTCCACGCCTCCATCAGAGTAATCTGTCCCTGCTTTGCGTACGGTTCTTCAATGCCTAATAAAATCAAGCCTCTGCTGCTTAGCTGGCTTGTATATTTGACCTCACCTACTCTCTCCCGTTATTCTCCTCCTCGTAGAGAAGAATATTTACAGTTCTTCATCTCATTTATGACTGATACCTTAAAGCCATTGCCACTATTTTTTAAAATGCAGAGCTCAACTTCCTGCTTTAAACAGTTGTACCCTAAAAGGGTGATAAATTCCAAGTGTAGCTGGATTTGCAAAGTAGACAAATTATTGAAAAGCACTTGAAATAGGTTTCTATGAGAAGAAACTAAATTCATCATTTACTCTCATAAAATTAGCATTTTATTCCTCTTAACAAAATATTTTATGATATGGTTAACTAGGTGTTTTCTGGGCTTTTTAAAGTCACACAGAAGAAAAAATGGTTCTTTATGAATAAAGTACTTGTCATAAAACTCAAGCAACATTGTAAATGTACAAGAGATGGGTTATTTTTATTTCACAATCTATAATTATGCTTGATCGAAAGAGTAAATCTTCACTAAGGCCTTAGAGAAAGGATGCATATTTTAAAAGCCTGTCAAAAAGCCTAGATAGGAATGAACTGTACAGTGCAGAAAGATAAATGATGTGTTGTTCACATCAAAGCACCAAGAACTTTCCTTTTGAAGTGGGAATAGTTGGCATACACAACATTTCCATTGCCTTTTAACTTCAGTAGGAAGAATGGCCCGTATCATAAATATAGAGAATTATTTAACTGATAAAGCAATTTAGAAGTCATATAAAAATATGTAATCTGTTCAAGTTTTCTCCCTCCTCATTTATTTAATTTCTTTGATTTTGGTTTTTAAAACATGGAACCATTCATTTCTTGCCTAAAGAAAGAGTAATGCTTTTTTGTTGAGAAAGCATCAGCCAAGGCCAGGATATTCATGTAACTATAATTCTCAACAATTAGATGGGGAATTTGCAGTCATCTTCTTGAAGGTCAAGATTTAGAAGAGCCATTTTTCAGAGTGATTTTCTTAAGTGGCACAAATCCAGTTACCTTTTACGTGGATAATAGGGGTAGTGCCTTTTTAAATTAACTGCTGTACGTTCTGAATTACCAGCAAAGCTCTACTCTCTGTTATGGCAGATTAGTCTACTCTGTGGATATAAGGGTTTTCTGGTGTTCCACAAAGAGTATAATTATCTCCTGGAGCTTTGCCTGAACAATTTTGAGACATGGACATTTGAGTTATGATATAAGTGAATAAGTCATATAATAGTTTTCTTTACAATGGATAGAGCTTCTGAATACTATTTGATCATTTGTTTGGTTCAAAGAAATAGAGCATTATTTAATAGTTTTATCTGCAACATACTTGCAAACCATCTTCTGGGTGCTCTGCTTCAAAAACATTTAAAATGTCCTGCTGTGGTTGTGGTTGTGGTTGCTTTACTAGTTCAGTCTCAGAGGGTGACATTCTTGGCCATGTTATTTGTGGAATCATCTTCCCAGTTACTAAGAGTGGAAGTGCAGAGGTGTGGGGTCCAGGCCTCCGGTAGACTGAATAATGGTTCCCTAAAATATCAAGTCCTAACCCCTAGAACCTGTAAATATTACTTTATTTGGAAGAAATATCTTTGCAGATGTGATTATTTAAGGAATTTTTTTTTTTTAGCAAGACAGGGTCTTTGACCCTACCTCAAAAAAAAAAATGAAAAATAATTTCTAAAATTATCAGATTATAAAAAAAAACTTGCTTGTATAATAAACTATAAACTCACCATATCTGGTTATTCTGAGCATTAAATCTTTTGAACATTGTTACAAATTTGGTGTTTGTAACAAGAACATAACATTGTTTTTTTGTTTTGTTTTGTTTTGTTTTGTTTTGAGACAGAGTCTCACTCTGTTGCCCAGACTAGAATGCCGTGGCATCAACCTAGCTCACAGCAACCTCAAACTCCTGGGCTCAAGCGATCCCTCTGCCTCAGCCTTCCAAGTAGCTGGGACTACAGGCATGTACCACCATGCTCGGCTAATTTTTTAATAGATATTTTTAGTTGGCCAATTAATTTCTTTCTATTTTTAGTAGAGACGGGTCTTGCTCTTGCTCTTGCTCAGGCTGATTTCGAACTCCTGACTTTGAGCGACCCTTCACCTCCACCTCCCACAGTGCTAGGATTATAGGCGTGAGCCACCACGCCCAGCCCACATAACATTGTTTTCACAAGTATTACATGAAGTAACATTTAAGAATGAAATTCCCCTGATCATGAAAAACTTTTTAGAAGTTGTGTGTGTACTCCACCTTCCCATTGGATATGGTTTTCATATCAGGGACATCTAAATAAATATAAAATTTCGGAGAGGTTCAATACTAATATTCTTCAAAAATATCCCGGGTGAAATGTACACCAGTGCTGCTAGCAGTGTATTCACAAAAGCCAAAAGGTGGAAACACCCAAGCATTCATCAACAGACGAATGGATAAGCAAAATGTGGTCTGTCCATACACTGGAACATTCAGCCTTAAAAAGGAAGGAAATTCTGATGCATTACAACACTTGAGATTTTATGCTAAGATCTCTACAAACTTGAGATCATTATGCTAAGTGCAATAAGCCAGGCACAAAAACACAAATGCAGTACAAGTCTACTTATATAAGTTAAAACCATAGACATAGAAAGTAGAAAGGTGGTTGGTTGCCAGGGGCTGTGAGGAGGAAGAATGGGGAGTTGTTGTTTAATGGATAGAGTTTCAGTTGAGGATGATGAAAAAGTTCTGGAGATGGATGGATGGTGGGTTGCACAACAATGTGAATGTGTTTATTTATTCTTTAAAGACCACAGGGTCTTGCTCTGTCACCTAGACTGGAATGCAGTGGCAATATCATAGCTCACTGAAGCCTTAAACTCCTGGGCTCAAATGATCCTCCTGCCTCATCCTCCTGAGTTAGCTGGGACTACAGATATGCACCACCACACCCAGCTAATTTTTCTTATTTTTTATATAGAAAAAATGTTACTATGTTGCCCAGGCTGGTCTTGGTCTCCTACCATACCTCAGCCTCCCAAAGCGCTGGGATTACAGGTGTAAGCCACCATGCCCCACCAATGTGAGTATATTTAATGTTACTGAATTATACACTTAATATAGTTAAAATGCTAAGTTGTATGTCATATTTTATCACAATTAAAAACAGGATAACAATATTTTTAAAATTTGGACAAAATTCTAGGTGATCAGGTAAACCTTTTAGGTTTATGATGAAAATAACAATGCATTTCTTATTGTAACAGGAATAGTATTTTGAAAATATTCACCTGCCACATTCTTGATTCCCCTGAAAGTCATATTTTTGCCCCAGGAGGCTAAGCATTGAGAATGCACTGGCCTGTTACAGGGCAGCTGTGGCAAGGGGTAAAGTGATCCTGCCCTATGGAGACACAGAAACCTGGGACTGGTGGGAGGACACTGCTGACTCTCAGTAGATGGCCTCAGCCCAGCCAGGATGGGGCAGAGTCAATCTGGGGACTACGGATTCTAGAATGTGTGGAGAGACAATGCCACAAGCCTCGAAGGTCTTGGACTTCCCAAAAGATGGCCAGCAGGGAGAAACCAAAGTGCCTGCCCTTGGAAGAGCTGCCCCACCCCAACAGGACACACTTTTCAGACACTTTGACATCATCTTGGGGAGAAGGTAGAGGAAGTGGATTGTAATCTTGAATTGATTAAGTATTTATTCCAGAGACTCAATTAACGTGAAAGCCTTGAATTGCATGAGGTGGAGATAGTTGATTCTTGTTATTTGCAGTAGTTATGTTCTATAAAGTCACCAAGAACACTGAATTAGCAAATGATGAATAATTCTAGGGGAAACACGAGGTTAGGCTCCTATGAGCCTCTGTCACAACTTTCCATCAACTGATCCATAGGAAACCATTTTTATATGTTTATTTTTAAAGACATTTCATTTAATATACATTGATTCATTATCATTGGATTCATGGCCAACAACACTGTTACTCTCACTTGAATGAAGCTTGTCTAACACGCGTATTTTCTCCATAAGGCACATCACAACCTCTTGCAATTAGGAAACCTAGACAGCGCTTTAGCACTATGCTTGGGGCCATTTAAATAGCAAAATCACCAACAGAAAGCACAAAAATGTGAAAACGTGACACACAGTATTAATAGACCATGAAAAGGACACTTGTTGACCGTATGAGAGCTGAAACAAGGCAGAGTCCCTTGTTTGACCTTAGCTGGAAACGTGTGCACTGGGCAGTTCAAATTTTTTGCCACTCTACGTGTGTCCCCAAATAACTGGGACAGCGCCACAGTATTGATTTGGTGGTTACAAATAAATTTTAGTGAGTAGGCAAATTTTTAAATACAAAATCTATGAATGAGGATCAACTATACCTTCATTTAGCATTGTTAAGTACCGCAGGTCCTCTCATTATCTGGTGGAGGGGAACATACAAAATTTAAATAAATTATAGAAAATGTAGAATTTTTGTTTTGCATATCCAAGATGTAGTACTTAAATTTTCGTCTACTACTATTATTTAGAAAAATGGAATGGAAGTTCTGTGAGGGCAAGGATTTTTGTCTTTTTCATTCATGCTG